CTCTCATAGCATCAGTATGACAAGTCTCTCACTGGGAAAATGACTCTGAATTGCTCAGAGGCTGCCGGGAGAGGAGAGGGAGTGTGGCTGTACTTTAAGGGCAGATGAGGAGGTGGAATGGGTTACAGGAAAAGCTGTTGTCTTCACCCGAGGCTGAGTCTCCAATCTTTTTGCTTATTTATTTACTTTTATCTCAGTGATCAGAATTTAGAATGCTGTAACTTTAATGGAAACTATTTTATTCACTTTTAGTATGAAACAGCCACATCATAAGTGGAATTAGGAACTAAACGTATATTGATCATTTATGATGGCCACCTAGATTCTGAACCCTGATTTTGATCCAGACACCCCGATGAAAGCTGTGTAGTTCAAATCCTCTGTACACAGATACAGAAGTGGGGGCTGGAAGGTCAAAGATAGAAAAAGCCCACAGCAACAGTTACTGATGGAGCTGGGGTGACTGATTTACGTGGCTGGGTCCTCCAGATGCATTTATCACACAGGAAAATGTACAAATGTATTAAGATGCATGTTGGTATGCTACAGATACATGTTCACATGTTTAAGATTTCCTCAAATATTGCAGAAATTTGATACAGATCAATAGATAAAACAAGGTGAATGAGACTTTTTAGGTCATTGTTTTTAAACTTCCATCGCCTCAGAAATGTCCCAAATGTGGCTAATTTTTAATAAAAATTCACATTAAATCATTTATTATCTAAGTAATATATAATAACACAATAGTTGATATAAAGTGCAGTTGTCCTAAGACACTGAGATACAGAATTGTTCTTAAAATTGTTCTTAAAATCCTGTGTATTTCTTGGTGTTGTACACTACTTTCTGTGTTTTAAAAATTAACTATACTGTGTATGTTTCATCAAGTGATGATTTGCATGTAAACTCTCATTTATCAGTTATCAAGTTGAAATTAAATTTTATGTGTGTGAATAAAATCTTGTGTTTATTGACCAGTACCGCTGGCTGTTGTATTTGTGTCGGCTACAGAGCAAAGAGAATGTATCATTGTCACTTTCTCTTCATTAGGAAAAAATACTTAACACTCATTACTTAAAGGTGTAGAAGTTTAATTTGGCTCAGAATTTCAGTCCATGGTCATGGTTGACTGGATCCAAGGCAGTAAGAGGTGGCAGAGGGTTACGTGGAAGAAAAGATGCTTATGTTATGGAAGCCAGGAATTGGAGAGAGAGAGGGAGAGACAGAGAGAAGGAGAGCCAGGGCTCAGCACCTAGCAGAATATTTAGCAATTGAACTAATTACTTGTTGGACTCATGATGAATATAACATACCATGATCTAATCACACATAAGGATTTGGGGAGAAATTTTAGATTCAAATCATAAGAAAATTCTTCTACTTCTTTTCCAACCTTGGGCAACAGTGAGAAGAAGACCCACCCACCAGGGGGAAAGGCACGTGGGCTGGCACAGGACTTTGGTGTGAAGCTGACTGCTGTGTCTTACTAGTGTGAGATTTGCCTCCCGCAGAAAATGAAGGACCCGATGCCTAGGCCACAGCTTACACAGCATCTGGACTTGACACAAGATCAGGCAGAGACCTGCAGGGTGTGGAATAGACTCAAGCATTGGGCCCTGCTTCATTTCTATCTCCCTGTGGGCCTGAGCCACACCCATACTCATAGAGACTATTAAGATTTCTGTGACTGTGAGATTCAGGAGTGACACACCTCAGTGTCAGCCGGGATGGCCAAAGGGCTGTCTCAGTCGCGAGTCCACTAATTTTGGGTAGCATAGCTATTCCCAGACACTTGCTTAAAGATTGGGCCTCTACACATGGTCTGGTACCATGTAGAAGCATTAACTCCAGCAAGACAGGTTTGAGTTTTGCTCCGTATCATCTCCAGATGGAATGCTGTCCCAGGAGAACACTGACACAGTGCAGGTCCACGTGGCTGTGAGACTTAGGTTTACCCTGAGTCTCATCAGCCGCATTCACCAGTACTACCCCAACTTCAGATGGACAGCATTCTGTGGGCAAGGAGGAGGACAAGCGAGGAGTAAGCATAGAACTTTGCCTTGCAACTCTGGGCTGGAAAAATGCTGGGATGTTGAAGCACAACACTGGGAACATTTTAAATCCTGATTTTGATATCAGTGCTATTGATAAAACATCTGATCCAACCTTGGGTCAGGTGAAGAAAAATGACCTCAAACTATCACACTTCCATCTTAGTAAGCAGGGATAAAGGGACTGGCTGCACTGTTTTGGGGTCTTCAGTCTGCATCATCTGTATGTGACATGGCAGTATGAGCCCTGGTTCTACCCAGTATTATGCTGGAATAGGTGGGCTGTGAGTTAAGGGTGTGTCACAACACTGTGGCAATCTGTGCCCATAAGCATGGCAAAGGGACCTGGGGCTGGTGCTCCCTTGGTGGTGCTGCCCAGTACTGGCAGAAGACAGATTCTGCACAACTTGGTCACAAGCCAGTAACTGTGAATAAGACATCTGGCCCTACCTTCCCAAGAGAGAGAGACTATGTGAATGGATTTTTTCCTTTTCAGGTACTATCCAAGTTTATATTGAACAGTATACCAAATAAATACTTGGAATAGTACTGATTATTTTTAAACTTATTGCACCTTTCATTCACTTTATTTATTTATTTTGGTATGTGTTGGCAGTACTCAATAATCACATTTTGCCATAGGGAATTGGTGCATGTACATAACGCACTTCAGTTCCTGGATGGCACTCTAGTTCTGAAACAATAACAATGCACCAGCAGTGCGTTCACAGCATACAGCCACTTAGAGCTTCATCAGGAACTGAAATAGTAGAAGTGATTATATTGTCAAAGAAAATCATCTGTGGCTTAGACTTTTTAGAAAGGCAACCTTAATCAAAGCCAGATTGCAACACCTGAAATATATAGATAATTTTTCAATGTTTACGTGACTTTATTCAACCAAGAAGAATCAGGACCTATCAGAAACTCATGACCACATGCAAATGTCAAGACATCATTATGAACTGGAGTCATACAGTAGAAATACAGGTAGTTGTTGCAGGGTGCCATCTTTGCTCAGAAAAAAGAGGGCTTTCTCTAAGAAGACACCCTCAAGGATGTGCCACTATATTACTGGGAAGAAATATAATGTTTGTATAGATTTTAAGTATTATCAGGTATTGTAACATCATCTCAGGCTAAAATAACCAATTAAGCTCTGCTATCTACCAGAGTTCATGGTTACTTTAGTGCTATATCTCTGGGACATAATGTCCATGGGCATTGTCAGAGTGATTTTCTGAAGCTTCAAAATAATGAGTCAAATCTGGTCTGAACTCACTTTGCTAACTTGTGTAGTACATAACATTTGCTACCAGTTATGACTAAGGAGCTGAGAAGTTCCTCCCGGTAAGTGAGTTTGATCTTCAAAGGCAACTTTATGTCTGAATTAAGTATTTTTTGATGAAAATATTACTAGCTAGTAAGGTATTTTTAAACGCACACTGGCACACATTTCCAAATGCCTACTCAGTGATACATTTGCCTAACAACGTTTCTTGTGCTGTTAGATATACAGAGAAAAGTCAGGGAAGAACTTCTAAGATTTGTCCCTTCAGGAACACCCTGCAGAATGCTAGCAAACGTAAAAAAAAAAAAAAAAAAAAAAAACCACTATCTCCTGATGATTTTGAATGTTCAAATCAAGCAATAATAGAATTATGTGTATGAATTATTATGTAAAAAAGAAATAATTCTATCAAAAATGATCTCTTAGTCAGTGGGTCAAGAGATTCATTATACACTATGCACCAGGAAGAAAATGTCAAAGACAGAAAGTTACATGAAACATGCACTAAATAGCCATGTATATAATTGAAGCTCAGCTTAAACCCTTACATCATTCTGATCATTTCTCCCTAACCTTTCTTTCTTATTATGCTCAATAAATTGGATATGAATGGAGACTTACTGCAGGTCGATCTGTTCAAAAGTTTGTTTTTAAGTATAACTGAATTCTGCAGATGACAATTGTGATGACCAAAGGTTGAATTAATTGTAAATCAATGCTATCATATTAGCCACACAACAATTTTAAATATTGGTAAAGGTAAGTTATATTAGAAAATGCACAGTACAAACTCACTTGTAAATTATTACTACTTTAAGTGGATCTTTCTATAATGTTGACATTTCAATCTTAGATTTTCAGTTGATAGTAAAATGAAAACCAGTTCAAAGCAAATATATACATATATACACATAGGTATATACATATATATGTATACAGATATATACTTATATATTTATTTATTTAATCAATAATTCCAGACCATTTATTTCCTCATGTTTTCATGTTCGTTTAAATCTAAAATCTTTCTATAAAGAACTACAGTCATGAGCCACATATGAATGCTTTTGCTAATGATAGACAGCATATAATGTAACAGTGGTGTAATAAGATTATACCACCTAGTAAGCCCATAGGTGTCTTTGCTTGTATGACTACTATCAGGGATGGTTACACAGTGAGGACATTGCTCAAGGGTGCTTTTCTTAGAAAATGTCACTTAATCCTTAAACAATGCATGACTATGTACATTTATGCTTAATGAATATGATCTTGATTAATCTTTTAAAATTTAAAATATTTGAAACATTTAAAGTTGTCTGAATTATATTACTTCAAAACACTAGCATTTCCTAAGAAGCAATTGCATATGAATTATTTATGTTGGTCACTTATTTTTTTTATTTTAAAGAGATTAAGACAAAACAGGACATAACAGAGCAGATCAGAACACAACAAAGTGGTCATTTATTTTAAACGCTGCTTTTAAAATGGATTTTTCTGTATGTTACCAAATTATCGCCCCATAATAACATCTGTAAAATAGTAAAGCCAAGAAAGAGTTAAATAAAAATAACACATTCATATAGTGTGCACAATTCGCTCTACTACAAAAGTTTAGAAATGCTCAACTTTTTTGGACGTCTTTTTCTTACCTGTTTGTGAGCATGGTCATATGAATTAATGTGGTTGTCAAATTCTTGATGCTTATAGTACTGCTTGTCACAGAGTTCACAGTAAAAATTAGCCTTCAAGTCTTCCAGAGCTTTGGCAATGGTGTTCTCTTTCTCAGCATAGTCCTGAAAAATAAATTGCAAAGAAAGGACTCAATTAACTCTCCCCAGAGCTCACTTTATTTTGACAGTTGTCAACTTCAGTAGAATAACTAGAAGCTCAGTATAAAAAAGAGAAAAATAAAGCAAATACCAGGAACCAAATTAGAACCAAACTTAAGAGTTAAAGAAAGAAAATTAAAGATTAACAGGGAAAGCCAAAGTAAATGTACAGAATAGCAGAAATACAGAGGAAAAATTATAGAAATAGAAGTGTTTTTTTTTCACCAAGTTTCCATTCTATGTTAGAATAGAAAATAATATACTTATGTTGATTAAGCTAGAAATATTCAGTTGATTCAACTGTACATTTCTGGCTTAATCAACATAACTTTTCAATTTTAAATGTCAAAACTGTGTATTGCTTCAAGAGTTCTGTATTTGTGTAGATATATTAAATTCATATTTTGTTTCCTTAAGTATTTCCATAGTAACTTATTGTGGTTCCTTGTGGCTATAACTTGACTAATGTTTTTATCTTGACATACATATTTACACTGAAATTTAAAACATCGTTTAACCTTTGAAAAATAAAGTACTTTACTGAAAGCCACTTAATTTATCCACTTAAAGAAAAAATGATTTAAATGTATAGAAGATGCATTCACAATGCAGTTAGTGACTAAATTCAGCTATAGAACTCTACCCCTGAGAAAATAAAGAATATAGCCAACCATCATTAGCTTTTGTTTAAAAACCAGAAATCAGAAAAATCATTTGGTTGTGCCTTTCTGATTTTCATCTATTTAATATTAATTCATATTCATATCTGGTTAAACGTTAATGTTGCCTGACATTAGTCAATTTTAGGCATTGACACACCGTTTGGTTCTTTCCCAGAAATGCTGATATGAAAAGAATCTAAACTCCACCCTTCATCATATACTATATTGTATTTCTAAGTCAAAAACGTTTTTATAGGTAACTGCTACAGAATCCAAAATAACTGTATATGCTGTCTTCATGTGCACTTTCTCGTGCACTGAGCATTGGAGATGAAATAATGTCATATTTGTGACAGTTATAATTGTCTTATCTCAACACAGGCTGGAAATCATCAGGGTTTGCTTAAACTGTTTCTGTGAAATCTGAAAGTGGTCACTATTCATTTAATGAATAATACTTTCCTTATTTTGTTGTATTACTGTACTATTTATTTGCTTACAGACCACATATAACATATTTTACCATGATATAAGTACATGTCTTACAGTAATCTACGATTTGTCATCATCAATGAATATACAGCACAATTTTTCATTTAACTGAAAGTAGTAATCCATTGTTAGGTTTTATTAGCTATATCAGTTTCACAGGAAGAAGCATTGAGTTGTAAAGTAATTTAGATTATTTACGTATGATTTCATTTTTTTCAATAATTAGCTTACCAATTCTTAGATTTGTGAATTGTTCTCAATTATTCTACTTGATTATTTCCAATATGTTTTTAAAAGCTGTTTTAAATAGATGACTATAATTCATATAGACCTAAACTGCTGACTAAATTTTTATTCAGTCTTTAAGATAATAGTGTCTGTGGTAGCTAGTTTAAATGAAACAAAAATTAATATGATTTTGCAGTTACAATGTGTGAAGCAGAGATAGTATTTCAGCAAACACAGAAGGTACATTATAATATCAGTAGCTTTGTTTTAAAGATGAATTTACTTTCAGAGAAGTGTTTAACTAACAGAAACTTCCTCACAAACTTGCCTATTTTTCCCATTAATTATAATTATAGTAAGTTTACTTCCTTTCTCTAAATACCCAATTATTTCTCATAATGCTTTGATTTTTTTTTCTTCCTAATAGTGCTATTCCATTATGGAAGCAATAATTGTTTTCTACAGAGTCTGTGTAGGAAAATTTTGAGTAGAACACACTAATATTTAAGGCAGATTGCTCTCCTCACAAATATTAGCCTTAACCTTAATCTGAAGAAAAATAATTTTAAAAAGTAACATTTGGTTAGTATTTAGCCTCAGGCATTAAGAAGCTGAATGAATTTATTTCTTTAATTTTTATTAAAGTGACAGAAATGTTCAAAATATTTCCTCATTTTGTGAGAAAAGAAGGGAAAATTGGAAACAAGTTTTTATTGTAAATAGAGAGGTGATGTGGGGTTGGGGGAAGGGGAGGAGGATGGTAAAAAAGAGAGCCAAGTTATATTATGTACAGGTACAAATTTCCTACAATGAATGTGAATAATATGCATACCCAAAATGTACAAATAAATTTAATTAATTAAAAAACCTTTCCCTCAATTTACATATAAGAATATTAAAGTGCAGAAATACTAATAAAAAAAAAACCAAAAACAAAAACAAAAACAAAAAAAAAACAAAAACCAGCTTCAGAATATAACAAGTAAATGTACATTCCATATTGAAACCAACATAATCTGGTATACACTATTTAGTTCTTTTTAAACTATTAAGCTTGAGAGGGAAGACAATGTCAGCATCTCTAAGTGCTCACCAGCCCACTGATTACATAAGGTCAGTCCTGCAGAATCTTAGCTCAGTCAGTGCAATAGCTTTACCTCAGGCCAGAACAGTTTTAGGAAAATTTCAAAATTTCTGCAATGCTATATATAAATCTTTTAGTATGGATATTTTAATTGGAAGGAGTGAAAAAATCATAATCACAAAATCATTATAAGAATGACAGAAAAAATTAGCAATGGTTATTAGATTGCATATTATTGTCTTCAAAATAGTTGCTCATTTTACTAGATATGGACATGCAAAATGGATCTATTGTACCTTGTGGATCTTTAAAATAATAAAAAAAGATAAAATAAAACCATTGTAAGATCTAAATAACCAAATAAAAGCTAAAGTAATCACATAGATCCCTTATTGCTATCAATATTCAGTCAACATGTTCAAACACTTCTAACCATGTAATATTTTTAAATTGATTGAGAATAAAAAGGTTCAAAGAGCTCTCATATTGCCACCATCTGATATGTTTCTGAGTCTTCTTATTCTACAAGTTAAATTTTCTCAATTTCCTCACAATCTACTCACAAATATTAGCTTCAACCTTAATCTGAAGGGAAATAATTAAAAATAATAAGTAACATTCGTTTAGTATTTAGCCTCAGGCATTAAGCAGCTGAATAAATTTATTTCTTTAATTTTATTTTTTCCCACATTAGTTTATTTTTCAAATAACTATTTCTTAGGACAACTCATATTTGAGTTTTTAAAAAGATAGATCTATTTTGAAAAAAAAAAAAAAACATCCAGTACTATCGAAAAGTTACAAAAATATGACAATAGCCTAGACTTTACTTAAATGAAACCACTGTGAATATTGTGCCACTGCTGTGGTCTCCCAACCTTCATCCTCCCTCGTCCCTGCCCTGAGATGTTACAGGAAGCACGGGGGAGCCTTTTGCAGGAGGAGCAGCACCTGAAAACTTTGGACCAGATTTCAACTTGGTCTGATCCACAGTCAGGAGTGGGTGCTGCATCTGACAAAACATGAGATTAGAATGACTTCATCCACGTATTCTTCTAGTCCTATATGCTACATTTATTCATATATCATGTTATTTTATTCATGTAACCTAATGTTATGACATTATGGGTGCCATAGGGGAAAAAAGAGTCTCCTGTAACATAATTGATCATAAATGTAAAAATATGCAGACTGCATCAGTCAGATTGACATGTCCCATGGCCTCTCTCCTTCTAAATTATGAATGATATTGAAACAGATATTGACTGGGGTTATAAAGCGGATTAATACATATTTGACATAGTCATCCCACTGCAGAAGGTAAGAAATATATTTGAATAAATCAAAAAAGGAACACAGTTGCTCATATCTAGTCAACCCTAAAAAATTCTCCCTCTCCCTGAAAAAAAAAATTTTTTTTCTGTGTTCTACTATAGATACAACTTTTCAGCATCTGCTTAATATGATCAGAGACAGCGAAGAAGAAAGGGAAAATTTCTTGTAGTTCGTCAGGCCATCCCAACCCATTTACTTACATGGACCTAACCACATTAAAAGCTGAATCCTTGTAGTCAGGATGTCAATATCCATAGAACCCTAATCATGAAGTCAAAAATCTTTTGCTTTGCAACCAAGGAAGTACAGTTTGCAGATCAGCAAATAGAAATAGACATATTAGTGGTCTATTCATGGCCACGTGGCTCGTACACTCACACTATAGAAAATATAAATAATGCAAAAGTAAAGGCTTTAACAGAGAAAATTTTCATTTCCAAAATGATGCATCTCATGGTGGCTCCTTTATAAAATACAGCACCAAAAACAGTACTCAGCCTCTCTTTTCTCCACATCTCTTAGAAGGTATTTGTAATAGAAAGTTGAGCAACATTCCCAAGTGACTCTCCCTTAGTGAAATGGAGATTACGTTCCATTCCTCCTGTGGCTCTGGATGCTTTGACAGAGATAGCAGTAGCAAAACATCAGAAAGCAGTAAAGAAACCCCTTTGGTTTGAAAGTGATTATAGAATAAAAATGAGATGATGCCATCCAGATGGTGTAACAGAACTCTCCAATGCTCTTTTCCACAAAAGCATCCATTTGAACAAATCTCCATGCATAAAAATATCCTTACAAGAGTCCAGAAGACAGGTGAAAAGTTACGGAATAAGGGTATAACACAGAAATAAGAAAAACTGTATTGACAAGTGTAAAAAGCAGTTTCCCATTATTTGGATCACTTCACCATAAATCCCATGGAACAAAGCATGGAGAGAAATATTTTCTTTTGGAAGATATGAGCTTTGAATGCGAGCTCAAGAGCACAACACCAACCCAGCCTGCTCAAGTAAAATCAAGCACTGGTAAGCTCCCCATACCCCAGACTCCTGAGCACTATGCAGGATGGAGCTTCCAGGACTCCTGGTGCCAGGTCTCATTCCTCAGTCCCCTGTTCCAGGCCTCTTCAGTAGACTCTGTTTCCAGAAATGCTGCACAGTCTC